TGGGTTAAAATCGCACTTTCAATTCAAAATGGCTCACTTCCCGTTGAGTTTAGGATATGGGTTCTTGAGGCTTTTGTGTGTGTCTTGATGTCCGTAGAAATTTTCGTGCATGTAGGTTGACTGTGGCATGGGGACTAATTTTTTCCAACTTTGAAGGTGGCGCTGTGGAGCCATTTTGCCACACCCATGTGCGAGACCCTTAAAATACATTATTTTTCGCCACGCCTGGCGTGTGTGCAAAGTTTTGTGGGTTTGCGGGGACATTTAGGCCATCAAAAGTGGGATTCATTTGGGAGAAAGAAAGAGAGAATAATCCTTACAATTTCAATAGGGTCCTCGCATGTTTCTTGCTCGGGCCCTAATCATACAACATGATAAACCTTACTGTGGTGATTTATAGTTTATAATTCAGTCATTAGCAACATAAAATCATTCTCTTCAGACACCTACAGTAGAAATGTTTAATTTTCAGATTAAACACCAGGTGGCAGCAAATCACAGCACTGTCACACCACCGTCAACCAGTCGGTGGTGTTTGTCTGACTTAGTGTAGGCATTCATTTTGGTGTTGTCAGGTGTGAACACAGATTAAACATGCAGCTTAACTCAGTTTAACCATGTTTGAAGCCATACAATTGTGATGTATGTTTGTTGACATACAAAATATAATAGACCAACATCAAGACATTACTACAAGCACACCTTTAAATGACACATTGAGCAGGTGTCATGGGCACAGCTGAAGGGAGAATTGACTTCTGCAGCAGCTAGAAAAGTGTCCCTAAGTTAGAATACATTATCTCTCAGTAAAGATACATCATATCCTCACTATATGCAAAAACAAATCCAAGTTCTGCATATATGTTTGGCTGCACTTAATGGCAGCCAATCAGAGCATAGAATCAATCCTAGGAGTTAGACATTCAGCCAAAAACACTGACTATTCAGCCCATAATGTGATGCCGTTAAAGACCAGTGGGTAATTATTTATAGAGCCATGGTGCTGGATTGACATGCTGCCTGAGTGACTCATCACAGCAGAGGAATAAATCTACATTCCCCCCCGCCTTTAGAATCTGAATTTACACAGTAAATTCTTGTTAATCAATGTGAATGTGCGGAACCTTTCATGTTATTAGCTCAAGATTCCAGGCTGTCATGCTGTCGTTAAGCAACATTAATACATTTGTATTGGCCACTTTGGGGCAGTGACACAAGCTGCAGTGATATGTTATAACCTTATATAGTTGTTATGGCTAACATGTTGGCAAACAAAAGTCCTTGCAGATACAGAACAATATCAGCGTTCACCTGGAGTCGTGTTTGTGGCCACCAAATGAATATCCAGAATTCTCTCTCTGTTAGCTCTGTGTCTCTCTGTCTCCACCAGCTCCTCATCAAAGTATCTGGCTCTTTCTGCTAAATGCTCCTCTATGTTGACCAGCTGCTAAAACATAAAAAATGTTTAAAGACGCTAAAACACTTCAGAGGACTATGAGGAACCGCAGAGTCGGGTGATAATTCTCTGTGGGTTCATCACCTGGTCCATTATTAATAATGAGATATGTGTGCTTGTTTCCATGACTTCAGTTTGGTTTTTACAAGGCCAGAGAGAAGAAGGAAGAGGGAAAGGATAAAGGATGGAGGAGAAAACATTTAATAAATTCTCAAAATACGTTCCTTTTTAATTGCCAGACCATCCTCTAAATGTTTATTAATTTAGACCATCGCATTAATAAAACAACACTTTCAGACACTACCCCAATCGTTAATTGCGTCATTGCCGTTGGACAATCCGGTTTTTCTATCAGCGCAATGCATGATATATATAACTTGGTTAGTGACCATCAGTCTTGTTGTGCCGAATTCTGCCTGCCTGTAGAGACTTGAATGCACCTCGTGGGTGGTAACACTCATATATGCTGAGAAAAGAGGTGGATGCAAATCTGGGCAGGTAGCATAACACATCTGTTCTGCCGAATTCTGCACCCACCTCTTTGCTGTGCTCATTGATCAAACACGGTAATCACCACGTCTTTTAGCTGAATCTCAATGAATGCTACTTCTACTAAGTGTAATAAAATATTAACGACTCTAAACGTTCAAAAAATATATACTTCGAATCATTTATCACCGTTGATGAACCCCACGAAGGATATTATAGCATTTAAAAGCAGTATTTGGAGGTGCATGCAAAACTCAGCATAATACCGGTTCCACTGGCAACACAACTCATAGTAGGTCTATCTCCGGAGAGGAAGCGGGCGCTAGAGCGTATAGGGTGAGAGAGAGGAGCCTGACGTAGACCACAGCTGTTGCAAACAACAGGTGCACGTGTAGAGCAGCAAGTTAGTTTGAAAACCAGTAGGGATACAACTCCAGTCATAGATAGAATAGAATGCAGCTGGGTTGTTTTTCCGTTTTGGTTTTAAAACAGAAAATCAAAAACAGATGTTTGTTGTTTGTTTTTTCCGATTTGGTATTGAAACATAAAAACCAAAGAACGAACCAATCACAGATTTCAGCGGCACTGAAATGAATCAAAACAGGACCTGGAAGAGCATCTTATTTACGGCATCATCCCAGATTAGCAACAGTGTGAAAGAGTATGGCAGGAAAAGAGGCAACACAGATCTTTGCTTTAAAAGCAGGTCCCAGTTTCCTCTGGGTGCTCCCTCACAGCCAGAAACAACTGGACAGCACCAACAGCTGGATGTGCATGCAGATAGAGCTGCAGCTTCCTCTCTGTTTTCTTCAGCACTGAGCTGAATTGAAGACAACACGCACCATACTGCGGCAGTCAGATCAGCTTTGGAAAGTGATTACAGGATTGAAACCTGCCTGCAGCAGTTTTTTATTGAGAGACTCACTGGAGTGGCCCTGATATGGTTAGCCTGCCACTCACTAAGTAGAGAGGAGGAGACACAATGAATTTGTGAGGCGACATAATGACTTTGACCCACGTGACAGCAAAGCTAAGCAGTATTTGGAGGTTCATTTCTACATTATGAAAGAGGGTTAGTGGGTAAAACAGTAAATATTGCAGGTTTATTTCTGGATGCTGGTAATTTACAGCTATTAAATGAAGAGTAATTAATATACATTTTTACTCATTTAAGTTAACCAAACAGCAGACTTATAAATTGAGTTACTAGCTGGTCAACATAGTGGAGTATTTAGCGGCTAAAGTCTCTATACTTCTTAAAAGTTGGTAAAGACAGAGCTAAAAGAGTGAACATTGGAAATGAGTCACCAGAAACACGTCTCTAAATGAAAGTTTGGTTTCTACGAGGCGCACCCTAACTCTGCAGCATTTGAAGGCAACTATATGCTAACATGTTAAACCTATAAGACCATATGTCATGTATTTTGTAATGTAACCATTACAGCAAGTTTAATCTACAAAGTAATTTATATAATATGGTTGTAAAAAGTTCACTTCTTTCTGAAATGTATTGAAGTAGAGGTATAAAATAGCGGAAATATGAATAAAGTACAAGTATCTAAGAATTCTACTTAATGCTTCATTCAGAGATTTTTGGCTACATGGCTGCACCCAGATCTACATGGCATTATCATCTGATGAATATAATCCACTAACCAAATGTATTGAAGAAATTAACAACTGTATGCTCTGCTATTTCCTGCAACTCAATATGAATAAAACTGAAGTTATTGTCTTAGGTGCCAAAGAGGAGAGACTTAAAGTTTCTGCTCACCTTGAATCCCTTTCACTAACAACCAAAACTCAAGTCAGAAATCTCGGTATAATCATTGATTCAGATTAAAATCTTAACAGCCACATCAAAACCATTACAAAATCAGCTTACTATCACTTTACACGCAACAATAAGTAAGAATCTTATGTCCAAGGAGGACCTTGAAAAGTAGTATACAGTATACATGCATTCATTTTTAGTAAACTGGATTATTGTAACAGTGTTTTCACGGGCCTCTCTGAAAGCTCGATTAGACAACTCCAGCTCATTCAGAACGCCGCTACTAGAGTTTTAACCAGGACTAGGAAATCTGATCACATAACTCCAGTTCTGAGTTCACGTCACTGGCTTCCAGTGAATGAAAGAATCAAGTTCAAGGTTTTGTTGCTCACTTATAAGGCAGCTTCAGATACTGGACCTCTTACAGTTCCTTCATAAGAACAAAACATGGAGAAGCAGCAATTTTATTTTTATGCTCCTCATGCCTGGAATAAGTCTTAAGACATTCCTGTTCTCTGAGGCTTTTTAAACCTTTACAATCTTAATCCTCACTACTTTTTATCTGACCTTAAGTTTTTAACCAAGTAATCATTTCATTGTTTTAGTCGTGTTTTTAATATCAATTGTCTTTTCAATTTTAATTTATCTATTTTTCTGAAGTATTTTTGCATTTGTATTGGCTTCTTCATATTTGTAAAGCACTTTGACAGACAGATGTCCATTGTTTTAATATATAGTGCCTGTTAATTATTAACATGTAGTGTTTGAGGGCAGCAGAACAAGCTGAAAACACGCTGAAAAACACATTACATTACCGTCCAGATGTTGTGAAGAACATGTTAGCAAACTATACATCCAACAGTGACAAAAAAATTTGCATTCATTTGGAGTAGTGTAGCTCGGTTTGAAACAGCTCCTGAGCGAAATATGTATCTCTTTAGCTGCTAAGTGCTCCAGTATGTTCACCAGCAAGTCACTAACTGTCACTGTTGTTTGGGGCAGGGCGTGTTGCAGAAAGTGAGTTTATCTGAGCTTTTTTATCACAGCATTATGTCATATGGTAGTGGGTGTTAAAAATAACACTTTTTTCTACACCACTTCTGTAACCGTCAAATTTCCAGCACTTGCATGAGCTTCCATTCTGCGATAATCTCTCATATGATCTCATATTTGCAGTAACAGTTCATTTCAAAAAGCCTTGCTCAAATAACAAAGCAATTGATACCAGCATTTTCATTTTTGCTTTTTATTTTTGCAAATAGGAAAATAGCATTTCTGTTATTCAAAAAAAAATAATAATAACACAGCCTGTGTTCAACCAGATATACCGGCAGGACTGAGAGAGAAAAACAGAGAGAGAATTGGATGATGATGATGATGATGAGAGAATACAGGTCTGGATGTAGGTCAGTAGAAGCAGCCTGGGGAGGCTCAGACACAAAGACAGTATTGGTTCAGACAGATAAACACATCTGCCAGTCTGTCTGCTTTGAATGGATTTCTACATTACTGCGCATAGTTGGTTTTAAGAGTGAAACCTAATGTACCCATAATGCTAAGTGACAAAGATCTGAGGGTGATTGCAGTGTACTGCTACATGCAGAAGTACTCTACTTTTGAGTTTATCCAAAAGCACCAATGTTGCTCGAGCTAAGTTAAGATTGCCAGTAGCCTACTGTTCGTATTAAGTACGTGTCTGCTGGATCAACAGAGACAATCCAGTTATGTGAAGCATCATGCTGTCAGTTATACAGTCTCTTCATGTGGAGCACTGGTAGGTTAACAAGCACCAAAGTGTTGAGCTCCAGGAAGAAATGATAATAGTGACTGCACCGTGCAGTTTAACCTTCCTTAGAAAATATGCTTTTTTCTTTTGGCATGTTATGGCTCCGGTACGTTTTATGGAATTGCCATAAGAGCACAATACAATGTTTCACTAACACAAGTGCACTTAAGACCAGCAGACTCAGCTTAATGGTTTGTGAATGGGTAGAATGGGACTCCAAATCCCAAACCATAATCAGTCTGACATTCCACAGCTACAATCAAACTTATTTAACGGACCAAAATCCTCTCCAGAAACACGACTGAATAGCTTAATGCACTGATTGAAATTTCTTTGATTAAAAAAACATCTATATAGAGGCTACAAGCTGTACACGTTATCTTTGTCCTTTATGTTCAGTACACATTATATTGACTGTGCTAATAGAGATGATTGAATAGACGTTAGCTGCCTTTCCAGCTATTAGCTTTTCTTGCTGCTATACAGTAACTGCTACTGTAAATAAGAGAGCAGTGTTTCATGTCATTTTTTCACCATTGAGCCCACGTTACACATAGACAAGAGTTGTTTTCTAGGCCGCATAAGTCGGCTGCACAATGATTTCAAGAGAATTTCAGAGAACAAAGAGCTTATAAACTGTCACGCACCAAAGGTGTCGTTTTCATGCTCTCACAGGGCCACAACAGGAATTTCTGGTTTGGTTGGTTCAGAATCACAGTTAAATAAGAGCAGTCATATGATAACAGGAGGATCATGTGAGGTTTTGTGATAGGGGCAAAGGCATCAATGGAGATTAGGGCATACTGGGGCTGAGCAAAGGCATACGGGTCAAAACAGGGTGCATAATGATTGGACAAATGCAATAAAAGGCCAGGGTTGGATGCATAAAACAGAAGTTCTTCTCAGCTTGGCCAAATTGTGAGCAAAGCCACAAATTTACACAAGTTCTGACAAAAACATCTCAGCATTTACTCCTAATATCATTGAAGAGTCATGCTGTTCGTTCAGAATTAACTGTAACTCTCAAAATCAAAGCATTTAGAGGAGATTCTGCTGCTTTAATCATCATTTCACCCTCTGTAAAAACAGTTGCAAGTCTTATGATTAGAACACGTCACAATAAATGTGACGCAGCGTAAATTTGCACTTCAGCAACGTACTAAAACATTGGGAAGCTTTATCCATGTGGACCCTGAAGACTGGCTTTGAGGAAGAAGGGCGATCACAAAAGTAGAAACAAGATTATAGAATTACATACACTCCTATTACTGGTTACCCCCTGCTTCCAACAGCACCTGGTAGCTTGGGAACAGGAACAGTAGTGCAAGTAATGGCTGCAAGAGGGGCCTCTGTGAGACGGTCTCCTGTTAGCTGTTTTGTCTTTGTGTTTGTGTGTGTGTGTGTGTGTGTGTGTGTGTGTGTGTATAAAGGCCAGGAAATCCACTTTCAGCTGAGTTTCTTCCTGAGGTGAGGAGCTCAGTATAAGACAAGCTGCTCAGAAGGAACAGTGGAAGATAAACACCAGGGAGGAGTGACAGGAAGGAAACTATGAGGGGACAACAGTAGCCAGCTCTCAAGATTCTTCTGAAAGTTCTGCTTGTGAAGCACCAAAAGTCCTGAGAGAGACCCCCCCAGGCCAGGGCAGGCTGGATAGGTGCAGGGCAAGGTTTAGGCCAGCTGAAGGTATCACACAGTGGCTCTGATAATCCTGCTGGGCCTGGAGCTGCGGTGGACCTTCATGTGTTTGGATAAGTGATCACTGCGGGCGAACTTCTTCTCGCACAGCGAGCACTCGTACGGCTTGATGCCGGAGTGAGAGCGGCGGTGACGAGACAGTTCGTCGGATCGGGAGAATCTGGCAACACAGGAGCAGGTGGGTGAAGTTAGGAACACAGTAACAGAGAGACACATTAGCACACTGGCTAATTTTCTGCTAAGTGATGAGAACAGTCCCAGGCCTGACCTAACTCTGGTGTTCAAGGGCCAAGAGTTCTAGGCCCCCAGAAAGAACACTGCTGTGGACCTGTTATAAATAATTCACACATCGTAGTAGGCTTTTTGAGGACTCCTACAAACATTTTTACCATAGACTGTATATAAAATTAATAAATAATAAAATAACATTTTTACCCTACTAGTCAAACTCACCAAAACTGTGTATCCCCTAGTTACTACACTGATGAGTGCACTCAAAAGTTTCCGTCATGGACAGAAAAAAGCAGAGTTTTTGCTAAAAGTCCCACAATGCAAGCAAATTACAGCAATCACACACACCTCTGATGATGACTGACAAAGGCCTGAAATATCAATGTGATCCTCACTATACTGTAAACTACTGGCTGGTTCTTATGTTGGGAACAGGGGATCAGTGATGGAGAGATTCAGACTCAGCACATGTTGAGTGATGGCAGGATCGCATCCACGTTCACCCTGAGCTCAAGTTTTAGTTCCTGTCTTGTGCTTTCATAAGCAGCAGAATATGGTAGGTATGCAGCTAAGGATGTGGATTGGTGAATTATATAGTTTGAAAAAAAATGCTTTTAGAAGTGCTCTTTAATTACTATTCAGCCCTCTTACGCTGGCTAACGTTAGCAGATGACTGTATCAGCCCTGGGAAAATCTTCCAGAACGTTGATATACTCCTGTAATCTTGCAATGTTCATTTTGTGCTGAAACAAATACTCAGTGAATCAGTTAATTTACTGAAAGGAAAATTATTCAACAATTATGAGTAATCAGTGAAGTCATTACAAAATATCACTGATTTCAGACTGTAATGTTTCTTACATAGTAAGTATTATACATAATGACAACTGACAAATTTCCTTCATTTCACCATTTGAGGTTTGAAGGCACTTGAGGCTGAAACCTGACAAATATATGGAAGCTACACTCCAGTATGAGACAAAATGACTGTCACTATGGTAATGTTCCAGAGTTGTTAAGTCTTCCTTATAGTATTATAAACCACCCTGCATGTTTTGACATGTGAGCCCCCTGCAAACTCCTGGATCTGTTTCTCCGCCTGGACTTCCTGGTTCGTGTTTCACCATCTCACTACTACCTGCAGCCCTTTGCATTGACCAGTGGGAAAATCTCCAAAAGCTTGGTGTATTCCTTAAATCTCCATGATAAATGTAGTATTTACAGTTAAAAAGTGGTACACATGGGAAGAGCCACATACCTCCAGCCACACTCAGGCCAGCTACACGTGTAGGGTTTCTCTCCCGTATGCCGGCGGAAGTGAGCCTTCAGATGGCTGCTTTTGGTGTACATCTTCTCACAGCCTGGATGGGAGCACTTATGGACCCTCTCTGTAGGCGGCACTCTGGTCATACGCGGGGCCACAGCCTTCAACAGACCACTGCCCGGCCCCCCGACCCCAGTCACACCCGTGATCTCTATAGTTCTCATGGTGATAGGCAGAGGGGCGATCTTCACGTACTTCTGGTCAGCTGACTTGGTATCTCCACTATTTAGTGATAACAATGTGGTGGGGGTGGAGGACACCTGAGGGGCCAGCAGGGTGACATTTCGTCCTGCCGCACCCTGGAGCCCCATGACCAGATGAGTGAGCCAAACGCCACTTTGGGCCCCAGGAGGAGAGCCTGCTGGGGTCTGAGGCTGGGCCAGAGGTAGGGGCTGGAGCTGGAGGACCAGCGGACTGCCCAGGAGCATTGGTGGGGTTAAGGTGGATGGTGAGGAGTTAACTTGGACAGAAGGGGAAGGGTCAGCTGGGCTGGGGCTGTTCTGCTCGTTCTGAGGGGTGTTTGGGTTTGAAGTGCAATGGGAGGTACTAGTCCCTTGGTCACTGGAAGTCTCTGAGGACACAGCCAGGAGCGCAGTGGAGGATGGCGAGTCACTGCATGGGACAGGGGAGGCCTCCTCTTTAGGGGCCAGAAGCCCCTCTTTGACTAGTTCCATCTTTTCCCTCAAGAACTCCTCTATGTCCTCCAGGGTCGGCGAGAATGGGGAAGAGGGATGGAAAGAAAACTCTGGCAGCTTAGGCTCCTGACTCGCAGGTTCCTCTTCTCCCACTGCTCCGAGGAGAATATGCAGATGCTCCTCCTCATCTTCGTCTTCTTCCTCCTCCTCCTCATCTTCCTCCTCTCCAGGGCTGGAGCTGCGCATAGCCCCCGGCTCCCTGGCCTCAGGGCTGTCGCACGAGGCCAAACTGTCCCCCTCGCTGTGCGCTCCGTCCCCCTGGCCGAGGGAGAACAGGCTGCTGCTGCTGCTGCTGTCCCTGAACAAGTCATTCTCCAAAGTCAGCGTTCTGCTGCTGAGAGACACCATTGATCCAGGCCGAACGCAGAAGACAGGATGTCGAGGAAACACTATCCAGAAGTGGGATTACACAAATCTGCAAAGGCAAGAATGAGACTGGATTTTATTTCCCAGCAGAAAGTAAAAGTGCATCAGCAGTTATGCATTTACCTCAATGGCTGGAATTTAAACTTTAAAAGGTAGGTGCTACAGGGTGCCTCTGACAACAAAGAACATATTCAAGAAATCACTTCTGGCAAAAGTGGATTTCCCCTCTCTTCATTTTTGTGTCTAATATTGGATTGCTTGCCAGGTGGGCCAAAGACACCTTTCCACTTTGGTAGACAATAAAGTTCTGTCTTAAATTTGTTTTAAAGTTTGTGAACTGTCCATCCCATCGTGATTCTGCTTAAGTGAATAAACAGTAATACTGAAGCCCTTCCACAGACCAACGTTTCGATACCTTACACTCATCAGTAGAGAGTTTGGGTTCAGTGTCCTGCTCAAAGACACTTCGGCATGTAGACAGAACAGGAGCCAGGGATCAAACTACCAACCGTGTGGCTGGTCAACCAGCTCATGGCCAGATTAACTTGTCTGGGGGGGCTGGGACAAAAATTAGCTGTTGGGGCCCCTACTGAGCCTTGTGTATGAACCCCACCTCTAAGTTCCCATGAAGTGAGTGCAAAGGTTGCTCTATGGTAAAATAATACCTAACTTGTGGTAGTTTGATTTAATCCAACTTCATCATCTTCAACTCCATCATCATAACTTCACTAGGAATTACGCACCATGTGAGCAAAATATAAACTAAAAGATTTCAGGTCTTAAACTACATTCTGACACAAGGCCTCTAAACAAGTTGCTAAAACGCGGTAATCACTGCACATGCCTTTAGTTGTCGTGCAGGCCACTTCCTCCTGACATTAGATATTCCATCTTTTAAACTTTGTGTTGTCAAATATACTGCCCCCTTAAAGGAATATTCCCCCTGAGTCTTCAATATTTAAAAGGTCCCTCTTCATCTCTAAAATCTGCTAGCACTGGCCAGATGTCATTCAGCTGTTTACATATGTACATGAAGTCAGGCAGTGGTAAAAGATCTTTTATAAAAGGCCTATAATGGAAACTTGCACATGCACATTTGTAGTGTAAGAAAGGGGGGGGGGGGGGGGGCAACTACGATTCCTATTAGGTCCGCAGACTTCAAATGAGAGTCCAGATAGCTGCGTCCCATTTGCTTATCTAAAGGCTGAGCTGCTGCTGTCAGAGCAGGCACATGTTGCAGCAGGGCCTCAGACTTTCCGTCGTGCAGAGCTGGGCGCTGGGTAAACACGGCCCGCACTGACGCGCCCATGAGCGTATGGGGAGGACAACTAACCCGGGCCAACGATCGGCCTGCCAGCGGAGAGAAACCGCGTACTGGCTGCTTCTGTAAAGGACGAGCAGCACGGTGACCCGCCAGCACAGGAATCCACGAGTCTCAAGTTCGGCTGGGTCAAAATGTTCTATTTATAACGCTGCTCCTCTGTCTCTCCGGATGATCCGAGCAGAAGATCCCCGATATTTGTCTGGACCTACCGTGTGCGGTTCGGAGGCTCGGCGGAGAGAAGCGGCCGTCGATGGTTTCCAGAGGTCCGTGTGTGCTGCTTTCCTCGTCGTGTTATTGTCGTGGCACGCTCACAGCCCGTCCTTGCCACGGGTCCATGTTGGCATTCCTTTTCCCAGCGTCACGTGACAGCAACGCTGCACAACTAGGAGGCACGGGTCCTGTTCCGCGCCTCTGATTGGCTGAGCGCCGCGGAGGCTCGCCCTAAAAGGGGCGCTCTGATTGGCTGCCGCTCGATAAATTCTGGCTGCCATGTGTTGATGGAGGGATCGCTATACCACGACTCAACGGGATACACTGTGGCCTAGTGGCGGTGGACACGGGGTGGACAAAATAATGGAAAGACCTATTAATGTAGCAGCAAAGTCAGATCCATCAGAAGCTCCAGCCTGTGAAGATGGGGATAGATCTGACAACATCCTGCTGCGCTTGGATTTTTATAGTTTGCTAATTAATAGGTTGAGAACTGAACACACTTTTTGATTACCATTTTTGGGGTTAATGTAAAGATTATAAAAACAACTTAAGGACGCCTTGCTGACCTTCATCATAGTCAGTGAGGAAGTGATGAATGTTTGAAAAATCTAAAGTGGGATTTGCATATGCAAGAGAAAGTATGAATGATGCAGGATACATCAGCCACTGAGAGTCTATTGTGTTTTTCATGTTTATTTTTTATTTTTCTATGTTCATCAAGTAAATAAACTACTATAAAACATTTTGCATAATACATTTTACACTAGCTGCAGGCTCTGTTTTCATGTAACACAATTCTAAGAGTCTAAACATAAGTCATAGGCTACTTGGATTTCTGTTACCAGGAATTCCAACACAGATGGCAAAGTGCCCTCAACTTTCTGTTGCGTCTTACTCTCTTTACACACATGTATCTACATGCGACTGCAGTAGAAATCCTTGCAACTCCCTTTACCTGGAATATATTCTTAGTATATTCTTGTGCAGCTACCACCGGCCCCCTCAAGGTCCATATCGAGATTAAAAAGCACACAACAAAATGTACTCAAAGAAAACAGCTGGCAGCAAAGCCTCCCAGTGGCAAATACTTCCTGCTAAAACCTCACCAGTACCACACTTCATAAGTACAGAGGAGCTGTATGCTGTTGGTTAGTTGTACAGAAGCGCCCTCTGGTGGTTCAGCAGTGCCACAAAGTAAATCTTTGCAGCACAAGGAGATGGGAATCTGATTACATGTTTGTTTAACATTGTCACCTGTGCGCCACCATACTGCTGCTGCTTCCCCCCCTCACAAATAGCACAGTTAGGGGAGTGTTACACTGAAGATCTAAAGGTCCCTGGTTCAATACTGGGTTTTGACAGAAGGACAATCACGTCCAGCGTAGCACGCAGCTGTGTTTTAAACCTGTATTCTAAAGTGCAGATAAGTTAGTAAGATACTAAGTGACAGATCAACAGCCTCCTAATGGTTGAAATGTATATTTAATTTTTTCAAGATGTTGATTTGCATGTCACCCGTGGGCCACCAAACTTTTTGGCTTTGAGCTGAAATTATCATGATCCTGTCTGTGTGTCTTGTTGGGGAGTCTGGATTTGTGGTTCTGATCTGTTTGGTTTCATTATTCTTTTGATTGTTCTGCTTTGGTCTCTTCTCAGTTTGTTATTCAGTTTGCCTCTGTCCTGTTTTGGTTTTTGCCTTGTGATGTTTGATTTGTGTTTTTTGCATTTTGATTTGTCTGTCCCCTCCAGTGATCCTTCTGCCTGCATGTCTACCTGTTTCCCCAGTGATCACTCTGCCTATCTGTGTGCTTGATTTGTCCCTTATGTCTCTCACCTGTGTTGCTCCCGCCCAGCTCGTTAACCGTGTGTGTGTGTGTGTGTGTGTGTGTGCTTGCTTGTTTCCCTCAGTCTTGCTCTGGTCATTGTTGTAGCATGTATACATGTGTAGCTTTGCACTTGTCTCGTCTCTGGCTTGTCTGTCTTGGATCTGTACCCGTTTGGATTACCAGTTTCATTTGGATTGTTTGTTCTTTGGATGTATCTCAGCCACTCTGTCAGTAAGTGTCCTCGCCTTTTGTTTGCCACAATAAACCTTTTTGAACTGTACCTGCTCCGCTCTGCGTCCTGCATTTGGGTCCACCAACCTGCTCACCATACCGCACCCTGACAGAAATAGCGCAGTTGGGAGAGTGTTAGACTGAAGATCTATAAGTCCCTGGTTTGATACTGGGTTTCGGCAGCACAAGATCTCTGTTTCAGGGACACATCACATCCACCGTTACTGCTGAATTGGACCTTTGTCCGTTCTTGCGCACGTCACTGTGTGATCACATAGGTTTCCTGCAAAACATCCACGTTGTACACCTGCACCTTTGTGGTCTTGGAGGAACAGAGGCAGTTTTGATGGGAGTGTTTCCTTTGAGATGTTTCATGTGTTTCTGTATTGTTAGGGTAACATACGACACTAGAGGTTTTGATAAAATAAATGAATGAAAACTTGACATTTCAGCAGAACCTGTGCCTGTTTTGACACAACAATCAGGTCCAGTGTAGTGCACAGCTGTGTTTTTAAACCTGTAGCTCATCTTTACTTAGTTTTATTTTATAACCTAATGTCTGTCTGATCCATATCCCCCTCTAAGTCTGTCTAGTGTCATTCAAATGTTTTCTTTAAAGTGACAGCTTTAATATCCACTTAATAAATGTTTGCCTCATGGCACATAATTTACAGTTTAGCGGTCCCATTCTACATAAGAAAATCTGACAGATACTTCAGACAGTTACTAAGTGTGGAGAGACAATTTGAAAATATCTTAGTCATTGACCTAGATCATGAATAACAGTATAATCAGTATAGCTCCAAGCAACTGAGAGACCTGGCTGGAAAGGTAGCTTTATTATAAGATTGTTTTCCCTACTGGGTAATTAGATTCATTCACTTATTACATGCCGACTGTCATTGATCCTCCATAGTAGCCAAACAGAGTATATGGATAATGGAGAATACTTCTGCATAATGCACCACACAAGGAGTGTCAAGACTTCAGTCTGGTTTCTTAGCAACAGTACACAGCTGGATATCTCAACCAATCATTGCCTACAAGACTTTTTAGACGTTTTTAGTTTCTATATCTTGGCAGTAAATTAATGTCATCATTCAGTTTTCCAGGTATTTCTCAATTAACTTGTTTTTGATCATCACAAATCATTATTTTTATTTTAACCTTAACTTAACTTCACTACACTTCTAATGCACAACATAGGTCAAAAATTACCCATATTCTTTTCCCATGTACAGTAATTTCATGCAGGGGTGAGTGTTTCTTTGCTCTATCTTTTGAAATCATTTTATTTCATCATTTAATAGTAAAGTAGTCATTAAATATCTTTTTTTTTTTTATTACCACAAACTATTATTTTAACTTTTACTTTCTTACTGTAAACACAGCTTTTGTATTTCAAGATAAATTTTACACACAGGTCAAAAATGACCCAAATACATTCACTATGAAATTTTATAGGAATGTCTATTTTACAATTGTTTCACCTAAGAAAATATTACATATTTTGTGAAAGATTACTGTACATAATATTTGAACATTAGGTTACCTTGACCTTGACATCCATTAGTAGTGAGAAAGAGAAATATGTCCAATACTATTAGCTAGCTAGCTAGCTGTTAATATATTCTCTTCTAGCTAGCTAATGTTAGGTAGATCAACAAAATAAAACTCGAAATAGAACATTATATGATCTAATGACTGAAGTTTTCTTGTGCGTCTCATTTTCTTTATCCAAAGTGTTAGCATGGCTGGCCTAACATGTATGATAATGCACAGTAAAATGTGTGGCTAATAACGTCATTACAATCGTCACATCATTGATTGGCTTTAACTAATTAAAATGCACTAATTTGCATACATTTGCCAAGGCAATGCAGGTAAATAGGATAAACAAAATAACTAAAGCATATCACCACAGACTTTCCCCAGTTAATGACTTACATAAAGAGGCTTTTCCCCTGAAATGTTATGTTTATTTATGTTATGCTTGTTTGAAAGTGGACCTTTCTATTTAGCACCCTGCGTAAATTTGATTTTGGAGAGTCATTCATCCATTGGATAAAACACTCTACACTTCACCTAGAGCCACAGTAATTGCAAACCAGATCACTTCACCACCATCCCTATTTGCTATTTTCATCGAACCACTTGCAGCAGCAATATGACAAAACAATAAAATTGACGGAATCCAGGATGCCAGCTCACAACATAAAATTAGTCTTTACGCCGATGATTTATTATTATATCTACTAAACACCTCTGTGTCACTACAGAAAACATTTAACATCATTAATAACGTCTCAATAATTTCACTACACAATATACTGGAACAAATCAACTATACTACCACCATCTCTAGATGCATGGGATTCTGCAGCTCAAGAATCCTCCTTCCCTTCTCACTGGCAACATAAAATATTTATGCATTAATATTTCTCATAAGATGTCAGATCTCTTCCAGCCTCAACTACGATTGACCAAATTCCCACTCACTCTCATTTACCTCAGATTAATTACTTGTTCTCAATGCTTCCCATCACCCCCACCAACAAATGGTTCAAAACAGTAGACTCACTAACCTCTCAATTTTACTGGAAAAACAAAAAACAAGAATCTCACTTTCAACATTACAAAACAGGAAATCACAAGGAGGCCTGGAAGCACCACATTTTTTAACTACTTTCTGGCAAATCAATCAAAATTTTTATTCAAAGGGACCCAGAAACAAGTATTTTACGGGCCCTTGTCCCCTTGCGCACCCAGGGTAGAGCGACAGCTGGGGTCTGTAAACCGCAGGTTGGCTGATGCAGGTCTGAAGGTAACACCGCACATATTACACAAGTGAAGTGTGGAAAATATTTGCCAATGTGGGGTCAGGGTGTCAGTTACTTATTCAATTAAAAATGAATGACTTGGAATGGATATAGCTGTAGACTTCAAAAGGGGGACAAACATCAAGGCCCCGGTTCATATCTCTGAGCAACCCGTATACCTGACAGACTGCTTCAAATTCCTTTAACACCTTCATGAGTAACAATCTCAAATGGAATATCAACAGCAATCAAATTAACAAAAAGACCCAGCAA